CGTGAATTTAAAGCTTTTTGCAAGAGGTGCCTCTGACTGTTCTGGTAGGGAGCGGAGACAAAATATAACTGTAATTATGAAATGGCCTTGCTCTTTGACAGGGAAAATGTCTTGAGAAATAACATTCGGTTTTCCAGGCACAGATACAGAATAAATTATAGGAGGGTTGTGTGCTTGATCTCTAAATGAGGGAAATGGAAGAGTAGAAGCTATTTGTTCCTATCAAAGTGTGGAAGGAGGGAAACAGTCTTTGAAAAACACTGATGTTTCTGTGCTGCTCCTCAAGCTGTTTCCTGTAGTGGTCAGGTGCTGATGGTTTTAATTTGGAGCAGTACTTTTTTCATTTTGCCCCTTTTGATCTGTCTGACATGGGTAATGAATATGCTAGTACTCTTAAACATACTAATTACTGGCCTGCGCTGTTCCTTTACACGATCAAAAGTTAAATAGCGTGTAAGGGACGCTTCAAAATGCCTTACAAGTGTAAAGCAAGATCATAATTTCTGATGGCGAGGAATTACCAGAGTGCAGAAAGTGATTATTCTCTGTGTTTTCCTGCAAGAAGTCGCAGCTGTATTTTGCTTTTGTAGATCAACCTTTTCATTTTTTCACCCTGATATTTTCAAAGCTTTCTAGTAAGTGGAGCTTCGTTTGCTTATGCTGCTGATAAGGACGCAGATAAGGAGAACTTAGCTAGCGGGTGGAATTTGTGATCTCAGCCACCTGAACAAGTTGTGTGTGTGGTTTCTCTGCTGCTGCAGTGGATGCTGAGATTTAAACGGGAGCCAAGGTGTGCAGCAATGTGGTTTGCAAACTGGACTACGTGTAAACCGAGGGGCTGTGTGTTAGGGCTGTGAGAGCAGCTGTACGTGGTGTTCCTTTGCATTGCACTGGTTCAAAAAGAAAAAGCATACGTGGGAGTGCTGGAGGAGGAAAGGGGCAATTGCTGTAAATTCTGGGGGTTGTTATGAGCCTGAAGGCTCTACATAACATTTGACCGTGGATGTGTGATTGTGTTAGGAAGGCTGGCTTGCCCAAGTGACATCACAGTAAGTTAGGAATTTTTTTCCTGATGTAGGAAACTGTAGATTTTACAATCGTTTACGTAAAATTCTGTTCATACTGAGGGAAAACTGGAACTTCTGAGGAATTGGGGAATGACTTTCAGCTATCTACACTGCAATTTAGTTTTAACTTTTGTAGTAAACTGTTCCATTTCCCACAGAATATTTATCATTATTATTCAAGCTAGCTCAGTTTCACCTTGTCTGTTGAAGGTCATAATTTGCACAAAACTTATAGTACAGGGAGTCTTCTGGTTTCATGCTTGTCTTCCTCCTCCAGCCCTGAAACAACTTTCCCTTAGCTCTGTTGCTTTTGGAGTAACAAGATGAATATCTTTAACTAAAAGTATTTTGAATGTAATTGACACCAAATGTAGTCATATTGTAACAGAAGTCTAGGGAAAGGAATATACTTTCACCTCCATAGAAAACTAGATGTGTTCTTCACAGTGCATTTTGATATGGTTAAAGGTTTTATGTTAATAATCTATATGGCCCATGGGCTCTGAATTTGAATAAAATAAATGAGCTTATCTACCAGGAAAGCTGTACCTGTGATCTCTAGGCAGACTCTCAGCACAGTAGGTTCACCCAGTGTTGCAGTGGAAAGACTTAATTTGTCTCTGAAAAATCGTACTGCCTTCAGGGAATGCTAGAGGTGAGAGAAAACCCGTTTTTGACCAAGAATCCTTCCCAAATAACACAAATAGGTAGCATCATGTGAAGACATAAATCTTAATTTTAGGGTTTTTGTTTGCTGTTGAGTTTATCTTGCTGTATTTCTTCCCTCCTGCTCGCCGCTGCCTCTCCCTAGATGACAGCAGAACCACAAGCCAGCTGGATGAGTTTCAGGAGTGTCTCTCCAAGTTCACACGCTACAATTCTGTCCGACCCCTGGCAACGCTGTCTTACGCTAGTGACCTCTACAACGGCTCCAGCATAGTGTCCAGGTAAGACACACTGCTCCTCTGACGGAGCACCTCATGCTGGTACGGGCTGCCGAGGCTGAGGTAATAACCCGTATTAATCAAGTTATGGTGTGTGTATGTATAGAACACTCCGCAGTCGCCTCAAAAAAATAGTTTTGTGAATGTGTGATTATAATTGATCAGTGAAGGCACTCGAGTACTGCAGTAGTACCTTTTATTCCTGTTGGCGTTAGTCGAGACCAAAGGCAGAACCTTTGCGGTGGCAGTGAGTATCTGGAGCTGTTGCGATAAAGCACGAAGCCCGTGGTAAGCTCGGTCCTCTCCACGTTGGTGTAGTTGTGTTGTAAGTGATGCCGTTCTGGTGTTTCAAGAAACATCCATCTTGCTTGGTGTTGGTAGCTTTAAGAATCTGTGGTGGTTTTAAATATTGTTGGTTGATCCAGTCGTAATAGCTAAAACTAAATAGTTGTTTTTAACTGTGACTACTGGAATTCTTGAGCGTTGGAAGTTCTGTTTACAGCACTAAACACTAGTGAGGAGGTGGTTGTGGTAAAGCCAACTTGGCAGCTCTGTTCTTGCCAACAACTCCTCTGTACCCCTTGCCATGTGGGGTGATCATAGAATCATAGAATCATAGAATGTGAAGCTCATCTGAGCCTCCTGGGGGCCAGTTTGGACTCTTTAAACTGGTGAAATATTATTGATAGTCCTTCAACAGGGTTATTTTCTTCTAGTTTAGCTCCATGAACCAGCTCCCTTAGGGATCAGGCTTAAGAGAGCACATACGATAAGGAGAGGCTGGGACCTGCCAGCAGCCCTAACCTTAAACTGGTTTCAGCAGCTGTGGAAGTGTACCCTGGGGGATTTAATTAGTCTGTGGTAGCTTGTTTGCAGCTGCTGGTGGTGGAAAAAAATGATGCAACATGTTAATTGGGAAATCTTTTCTGTGTGGCATATATGCAGGACTCATTAGATTCTTACAGGCACGTTTCACAAATTTAAATGCATTTGTTCACAGCAACCTTTTGAGGGAGAGAAGCAGTATCATCTCTATTTTATACATGGAGAGCAGGAGATCCAGAGTGACCATACCTGAGATCTTGAAAGAAACATGACAATGGCATGAGTTGAATTTGGGTTTTCTGAGTCTTGATCTAATGCCTTATGAAGGGGCCATTTAGATGGTGACAGAACAGCTTAAATATTTGTGGAAAGGCCCCAAGAAGTTTGTGGTATGTGAAGAAATGGAGGCATGTGTAGCAGAGAATACGTTTTTTTTTCGTAAAGCAGCATTGATTCCTTAACTACTGCAATATGTAGCAAGTTAATGTCCGATGTAGCCACAGAGGTCAGAACACAATCATCACTGATCTGACGTATATTTAACCTGCACTGATTGGGTTCACACTAGCTACAATGAAATGCAGATGGGAATCTCACTGCAATGTAGACAAACTTCCTCGGCTACCAACTTCAGCACGGATTGGGTTTTGCTCCTTTGCCCTTTCTTCTCCTTGACATTCTGCAATCGCAGCATTTTTGTGGTATTTGGTTAGAAAATGCTGGAAGGGCAGTAAATCTCGCTCCCGTTTTGAAGGTGTTGTAATTCTTGGGTGAAATATATGTTTGAAAAGTATGTGTGTTACTCTTCTTCTAAATGAAGATACTACGGGGCTTCCCTCCAAGCCAGTACTGGAATTGGTAGGTAAATGTATTTAACTGAAAAATAACTTGGCTTCCAACTTGAATAAAAAGCATGAGTGGGGAGAACATTGTCAAAGCATTTAAGAAATTTTTAGGGGTTTTAGTATGTGGACTGAGTTAAAGATGGTTCATATCTGAGCATGTCCTTAAGTGCTTTGGTGAAGCAGGGCTGCTGAACGTCCTGCTGCTGTAACTCCTGTTAGCTTCTTGCTCTCCAAAGCAATTCCTTTAAAAATTCCTTTAAAGTTTGAATTTGTTATTCAAGAGTTTACATGTAGTTTATGTTGGCCAACACGTTTGTGTTCTCTGTTGTTCTTCGTCCAACTAGTCTCAAGTTCAGAGAGTCTGTGAAGCTAAATGAGGTGTGTGTCTTGGTGATGACAGCTTAAGATAGTAAAACAAAAGCGTTTAGGTACCTGCATGGGCCAAATTAGTTATTGGGGCACTTAAAAATCTTATCACTTTTATTTTTTACGTGCTGTGAAAAGTTTTTTTGTTGTTTTGTTGTTTGGTCCACTGCACTGATTTCTAAAGGGAATGCAGTAGGAAACACTGAAATGACAAAGTAAGTTTGGATGCTTAGCTGGTGCTGTTAAGACAAATGCTTTTAAATATAAAGCAAATATAAGGTTAATAAGTAAGGAGCCCTCATAAATCTTATAGAAAGTATTTTAAAGAGATATTTTAAGTATACTTAATAAAAGTAGAATTGACTGGAAGTTAAACTTCCTCATAATTATTTAGTTTTTTTAAAAAAATATGCTGTTACAAATAGGCAGAATGCAACAGGGTTTGGTTTGCATTGCTGTAACCCTATGTGAGGGTAACACAGTGGACTGCCAAAGATCTGCTGGCTTAAATAAGGAGGTTTTTAAAATGTGTTAGCATTATGTTTGCAAAGGAAGGAGATGGAAATATATTCCTTATCTACAAAACCTTGATGTTCATTTAGAAGGGAAATAAAACTGGATTTATGGTAACAGGATGAAAAGTGTAATTAAAGACTGTATATAAACAGGCTGAAAAAACCTGGAACAGAGCAGCAGCCTTACTCTCCTGAGTGCCTTGGCACAAGCATATTTATGAATGTCTTGACTTCTTGAGAACTAATAAAAGACCATGACCAACGCTAAGTAGGTTGTCTTGCTATAAAAATTCCAGCGTGATATTAGGAAAGCTACGGTTGCCCTTCGGGATGAAGGGACAAGCCAATGCTTTGCTTTCCAGTTCCAGGTTTCACCTGGCCTGGCAGGGAGCTTCCCCGAGGGACCCAGGCTGGTGGCTCTGCGGCGGCCGCGCAGCATCCGCACGGTGGCAGCCGTCGGTTGCGGTGCCAGCAGCGGGTACCGACGCAGGGCTGGTACCGAAGCTGCACATCTTCCATCACGGCCGTACGGGCTTATTTTGAAAGGTACACACAGCACAATCGTAAGCCCAGTGAAGATGAGCTTTACTTTGCTTAAAAACACACTCCCAAGCAAAAATTACAACCCTCAGTCCTTTTTTTCCTTATTTGCTTCAAGAAAGAGATTAACAGAGAAGAATGATCAGTGAAAACACATCCAAGGCTTGGCAATTGCTAGTGGCTCAGTTTTCCTTTAACATCAAGAAGACTTTCAGCAAGCTTGCAATGTGACTATACATGCACCTCGATATGCTAAATGTTTTTTTTAATACACTCAGTTCTCATAAGTACAAAGTATTTACATTGTTTTCACAAGTATATTAAGTTTTGTTAGAACTGGGCCAAGGAATAAATTTTTTCCATTTAGTATGCCCCCAGCCAGAGCAGTCCTGAGAGCTTAACTTTTTCTTTTCTCCGCTTGCTGTGGCAGTAAATAGTAAAGGCTTTCTTTTAAAGATGAGGCTGTAAACTGCAGCGTTAGCATTACAATGATTTATGTAGAAAATTGCTTTAGCGCTGTCAGAGGCCTTCAGAGAATAATGTGGCAGTCTTTCATATTTTTTTTAAAAAAAAGGACAGAAAAAGCCAAGAAACAGACTAAAGCAAGATATCTGTCTGAAACCTGGTTATTAGGAAGCTGGTTCTCGCTGCTGGGGAGCTCCCAGATCTGTCCCAGAGGTCCTGAGGTTTGGGGGCAAACGATATGGTTTTCTGTCACCTGCTCAGACTTTAAATTTTTCTGGGTTAGCTTACTATTTCTCTGAAAAGTCTTAAAATGACATCTGAAGGGTTTTGGGGTAGCCAAGACTAATTATCTAAAGGCATAGTGATTTACGGGAGGGGAAGGGAACAACTTTATTTTTTGACTGCTGAAACCTTACTCAACTCACCTGTTGCATCTTGAGACTGTTCAAAACCAAGGTCTTACCTTTGAGGTCCATTATTTTTATTTTTTTATTGCTTGCTTATGATTGTGTTGCCTCTAAGTAACGAATGAGATAGGAAGAGGCTTCTCTTAGCATCAAACAGTACAATTAAGTTGTTTTCAAGATGGTATTTTTGTGTTGACCCTTTTAGTGACATGACCTGAAATCCTTTCTTCAAAGGTGAACTTACAAGAAAAAACATCCATTAGGAATATGTTTTCCATGTATTTGTTGAACCATTCTATTTTTTGTTCCCCTTTTTACTTTGGACTACAATTACTTGTCTATATGAATTCTTGGATCTAGACTTTGACAAGATATCCTTTAGTTCTGTGTCCACCATAACAAGCCTGGTTTTTCTTATATTTTTTTTTATGCTCCAGGCTGGCTAGGATTAAATGAGCCATTTTATTAAGTGTGTGACCAGCAATGCTTCTATCTTGGTGGTAAAGATAAATGAAAGAAATGTAAGTGGGTTTATCCTTCACGGGATTGTATTTTAGAGTACAGTAGATGCTGCTCCTGGAGAAGATGAGAATTGAGGAGAGCTGAATTTTTCTTAGTCTGTTAAATCGATCATTTTTTAAATGGACTCTTACTTACTAGTGGCAACTCAAAACTGTGGATGGATCAGTCTTATTTGGACTCTTCTCACAACTGGAAGGAAGAGAGGAATACTTGGATAAAGAGACTCAAACTGCAGAGTGGCTGAGGAAACTCGTAGTGTAATACCCTGAACCTACTTCAAGTTTATGCCTCTCCCGTGGTTCTCTTACGTTACTTCATCTGAGGTTTTGACCTGTAGACCAGAGGTTTTCTGGAGCTGAAATGAGATTGATTTTTGTTTTTAATTAGAGCCAAGTAAAGTACAGAGCCTTTCCCTTACTTTCTCTTCTTTTTCTCTGGAGTGCAGAACCGATAACGTTTCCTAGTATGTAATTGTGGTCTGGATCCCTTGAGCAGAAGCTAAATGTGACTTGTAACCA